CGGTGTTGTGGGCGGGCTGAGTTGAGCTGAGGCGTCCGGTTGCCTTTGCGGTTGCCGTGTTTAATGTTAAGGAGAAAACGTCTTCTCCCTGGTCGAGTCTGTTTTGCCTGTGACGGCAGTTGGCGAGGCAAATGCGTTTAGTTCCCCATTGCCTGTTCCCCCATAGCAGGCAGTAACCCCCAGCAGAAGGGCAGTTGTGTAGAAATCAGCCCGGACAGAAGCGTGGCCAGCAGGTCGAGGGAGGGGATTGTGCCCCTCTGCTCTGCTCTGGGGAGACCTCTCCTGGAGCCCTGCGTCCAGCTCTGGAGCCCTCAGCACAAGGGGGACATGGACCTGTTGGAGCGGGGCCAGAGGAGGGCTACTAAAATGATCCGAGGGTTGGAGCCCCTCTGCTATGAGGCCAGGCTGGGAGAGTTGGGGGTGTTCAGCCTGGAGAAGAGAAGGCTGCGGGCAGAGCTGATTACGGCTGTCCAGGGCTTAGGAAAGATGGGGACAATCTTTCTAGTAGGGCCAGCTGGGACAGGACAAGGGGTAATGGCTTTAAACTAAAACAGGGTAGGTTTAGACTAGATATAAGGAAGAAATTCTGAAACACTGGAACAGGTTGCCCAGAGAGGTGGTGGAGGGCCCATCCCTGGGAACATTCAAGACCAGGTTGGATGGGGCTGTGAGCAACCTGATCTAGTTCAAGGTGTCCCTGCTCCTGCAGGGGGGTTGGGCTGGGTGACCTCTGGGGGTCCCTTCCAACCCAAAACATTCTATGATTCTATGACAAGAAGCCAGGATCTCTTAAACAGGCCACCCTGCATGGTGGTGGCTACCCGTGTCTGTGTAGCTGGCTCTTGGCAGAGAGGTGTTGGGGAGCATGGCCCCCCAAGAACACTATGAAACACTGAGGCATGTTGAGCCCTCACCTCCGCCAGAGCTTCCCGGGCCTGGCTGGGGCCTGGCCCCTCTGTTAATCCCATCGGGGGGTGGCCCTGTGTTAGCCCCCCCAACTGCCCCTGCGGCTCCTGGGAGGCCTGTGGGCTTCCTGCCGCAGGCTGGGGGCGAGGGCTGCTCCCCGTCCCACGGGGCTTGTCTGCAAGCACTGTCTCTTAGTTACAAGGCTGAGCTAACAAAATGTATTGTTTTAACAGGAAAAAAAAAAAAGCATTGCAGAAGCAAAGTAGGCTATTTAAAAATGGGTGGCACGGGTAATCCTGTCAAATGTGCTTTGAGCAGGTCCTGCTATGAAAATCAGTGAAGTGCTTTTGAAGGATTATCTGTACTGATACAAGTGCTATAGCATCTATATCGTATTTTTCACTAAATTACATAAACGGAGGAGTTGCAGCAACAAGAGCCATTTCGGCTTTAGCCGGTCCAGCTCTGGTTTGGGCGAGGATGCGGCCGGTTGCACCGGGGGCGGGGGTTCAAGCCCGGGGCAGCTGCCTCGCCACCAGCCCTCAGCCAACCCACCCTCCCCCAG